AACCCCCCCGGGGATGGTGACTCACCCACTCCCCTGGCCAGCCTGTTCCAATGCTTGACAACCCTTTCAGTGAAGAAATTTTTCCTAATATCCAATATAAACCTCCTCTGGTGCAACCTGGGGCTGTTTCCTGTTGTCCTATCCCTTGCTACTTGGGAAAAGAGATCAAAACTCACCTTGCTACAACCTCCTTTCAGGTAGTTGCAGAGAACAATGAGGTCTCCCCAAGTCTCCTTTTCTCCAGACTAAACACCCCCAGCTCCCTCAGCCGCTCCTCGTCAGACCTGTGCTCCAGACCCTTCACCAGCTTTGTTGCCCTTCTCTGGACCTACTCCAGCACCTCAATGTCCTTCTTGTGGTGAGGGGCCCAAAACTGAACACAGGATTCAAGGTGCGGCCTCACCAGTGCCCAGTACAGGGCCACAATCCCTGCCCTAGTCCTGCTGGCCACACTATTGCTGATGCAGGCCAGGATACCGTTGGCCTTCTTGGCTACCTGGGCACATGCCAGCTCATGTTCAGCCGGCTGTTGACCAACTCCCCAGGCCCTTTTCCACCAGGCAGGTTTCCAGCCACGGGAAATGGGGCAATATGTAACATGCAGGTAAACTGAGACTTCCCTGCCTTCATGGCTAGTTAAGAGTCCCCGTGGTGTCTGTTCAGTAACTGCTCTTCTCAGCTCATCAGAGATAAGTTTTCTTCTTTTGGGGTGGGGAAATCTGTCCTAGGCTGACAAAGGTGTGGGTATTGCCTCTACAACAGTTCAGAAAAAGCAACACTCACTCTCCCTACTGATAATGAACCACATGATGTATCCATACTTTAGCAAGATGCTATTTCCCCCAGAAATGTAGCATTTAGGGATGTTAACCCTAATTTCTCCTGTAATTGCACAGACTTCCTCTGTTCTAGATTTCTGGCAGAGAGATTACATACCTTATTATAGTCAAAGCCATAATGAGACAGGAACTGAATGCTACATGCAGAGAGGCTGAATTCAACATCTGTAACTCCCGATGTT